CTGCACTTTTCACAATAGCCAAAAGGCAGAAAAAACTGTAATGACCATAACCAAATTAATAAAATGTGGTACATACATACATTGGAATATCACTCAGCCATAAAGAGAAATGAAGTCCTGATGCATGTCACAACATGGAAGAACCTTGAAAAAAAAATCATACTGAGCAAAATATGTCAGTCACAAAATGATAAATATGGCATGATCTCCCTTATATAAAATAAGCAAATACATAGAAACCAATGACTATTAGTGGTTATCAGGCATGGGAGGGAGAAAGAAAGCTGTAGAGTTTTTGCTTAGGGGGCACTGAGTTGATGTTAATGGTGGCAGAATAATTCAAAAAAGGATAGTGGTAATGATTGTATAACATGAAAAATGTGATCAATGCCACTAAATTATACATGCAGAAATTGTTGAATAGGCAAATGTTTTGTTGTAAATTTTCACCACACAGACACACACACACACACACAAAAAAAAAAACCAAAACACTGTTAAGACAAGGAAAGATGTAGACTGGGAGAAAATGCACGCAATACATATATCTAACAAAAGATTGGAATTCAGAATATATAAAGAACTCCTATAACTCAACATGAAGAAGCTATGTAACTTAATTAAAAAATGAACAAAAGATGTGAACAGATTCTTCACAAAAGAATATAAACAAATGGTCAAAACATACTCAATGTCTTTACACATCCTCAAAATGCAAATTAAAACCACAATGGAATACCACTACTTGCCCACTAGAATAGCTAAAATTAAGAACACTAACAATAACAATATTGGGAAAGATATAAAGCATCTGGGACATTCATACCATTACTGATAAGAATGTAAAATAGTACTTTGGACAATAGTTTGGCGGTTTCTTATAAAATTAAAATACACTTACTCTATGATTCAGTAATTCCACTCCTGTTTTTAACCAAGAAAAAGAAAAATAAATCCACACAAAGTTCTGTATGTGAGTATTAAAAGCAGATTTATTCATAAACAGTCAAAATCTAAAAACAACCCAAATGTCCATCAGCCAGTGAATAGATAAACAATTCATGGTATGTCCATATAGAAGAATATTACTCAGTAATATAAAAAAAGAACTACTGATACAGGCAACAACATGGATGAATCACAAAAGCATTATGCTAAGTAAAAGAAACCAAACATAAAGAGTATATACTGGTTGATTCTATTTATCTGCAATTCTAGAATAGGTTTTGCAATGGAAAGTGATAATGTAGGGGTGGGGGGAGGATTGATAACAAATGGGGAGGAAACTTTCTGGTGTAATGAATGTGCTTAATTCCTCACTGTGGTGGTTGTAGCTACACAGATGTATGCATTTGTCAAAAACTCATTGAACTTTATTCTTAAAATGAGTATATTTAGTTATATCTCATTAAAATTAATTTAAAAACATAAAAACTTTTAAAGATATGAAAAATACTCAATGTCAGTATAATAAGATAGGTTAAAATTAAAACTACACTGAGATATTCATTTCACCTAGTAGACAGCAAAAATGGAAAGTTTGACAATATGTTCTGTTGGTGCTTCTTTTAAAAAATAGGCATTTTCATATATTGATAGGAAAATGGGACAGCTCCCACTGAGGTGTATCTGGCAATATCCACTAAAATTACAGATGCATCTACCCTCTGACTCCACAATGCCATTTCTGTGGCACTATCTACAGAAACACTTGCATGTGCATGCAGAAGACTGGGAGAAAACAAATGTCCATCAGCAGGGGACTGGTTAAATATGTTATAGTACATGTACACAGCAGAATGTTAGATTGCTCTAAATATGAATGAGAAAGATCTCTGTATGAGATGAAAGGATCTCTAGGAGCATTTTAGTTGTTTTTTTTTTTTTTTTTTTTAAATGTAAAAGAGGCGTACTGTCGAGTGGATTCCAACTTATTGCGATGTCCACTGGGTTTCCAAGGCAATAAATCTTTTTTTTTTTTTTTTAATTGTGATTTGAGTGAAAGTTTACAGACCAAATTCACTTTCCATACAGCAGTTCACATACATTTTGTCTCATGACATTGACCACAATTTACCACAATGCAACAGCTCCCCTCCCACTTCTTTCCCAAGTTACCTCTTCCCTGTGTCCATCCCTCCATGCACTCCTGCCCCTGAGCTGTCTCCCTGGGCATAAGCAGCCCTTCTTTCTCCCATGATTGTTCTCTCCAAGGAGTGTATCTACCTCAGGTAAATGCTCAACTCCTATGCCTGTCTTTTGTTTGGCTGGAAGCCACAGATGTGGGTTCAATTCCAGACCTGAAGGACAGCTAGGGGCCATAGCCTCAGTGGTTCCACCAGGCTCTATCAGATCAGCAAACCTGGTCCCCCCCTCCTTTTATTTTCCAAATTGTTCTGAGTTTTGTTTCACATTATTCTCCTACTCTATCCAGGATCTCATACACAGATCCCCCTCTGAGTGGTTGACAGTGGTAACCAGGCACTATCTAGTTGTTCTGAGGATCACATGGTGGTATACAAGTCACTTGGACTAATTGTTTGAACTGTCAACCTTCTGGCTGGCACTCAAATGCCTTAGCACTGTACCACCAGAGCTCCTTAAGAGAGGAGGAGGCCTGACTAAATATTCAAATTGCTTGTATATGAATAAAGAAATACTAGAAGGATATATAAGAAACTAATAAAAGTGGTTACTAATAGGGGATGAGTGATGAGGAAAGAGGTAATAGGGCAGGGGTGGGAAATGACATTTCTTTGTGTACATCTTTATTTTGAATTTTGTACCATGTAAATGTATCATCTACAGTTAGCTCTCCATATCTGTGGTTCACCATCCTCAGATTCAATCAACTTGGGATCAAAAATATTCAGTGGGGAAAAAAAAATTAAGTGGTCAAAGCCATCCCTCAAACACTAAGAGGGAGCCTGAAGTGTCATTTACATAGATTTACACTGTATTAGGTATTATAAGTAATCTAGAGATGATTTAGAGTATACAGGAGGATATGCTTAGGTTATATAACATTTTATATAAAGCACTTAAGCATCCATAGACTTTGGTACCTGCTTGGGGTCCTGGATCCAACCCTCCACAGATACAGAAGAATTATTGTATTCAAGAAAACATTTCTTAAAAAATCTCTAGGTTCGTTTGACTTTATAAGGTTAATATTGCTGAGCTCTCGTGATTCTGAACTATCATTATTTACCTGGAAATACTTGGAATAATGGTAAATCACAATACCTGTAACCAGGTGATGATGTAATTTTGTGCTCTCAACACAACTAACGTTTACTGAACAAAATATTTTATTTAATTCTAATTAGTCAATTTGGCCCAGAAGGATGGGAAAAGTCATTAGAAGTCTGAAAAAAATCTAGGCCCAAAGATCTGCTTAGCTATATTTTCATAGAATTAGTATTTTCATCAGGTATTCCCTACCATACAAGAAAGTACTCATCCTTCATGCAAGCTGTATGAGCCAGCAGAATGGTTTAAACTTATAGCTGAGTTGAAGATTAACTGCAAAATTTATTTTTTTATACTACTTGAAGGAGCTCTGGTAGCGTAGTGCCTAAGGCACTTGACCGCTAACCAGAAGGCTGGAGGTTCAAACCTCAGCCACTCCTCAGAAGGAACGTTGGGCAATCTACTTCCGCAGTGATACTGCCTCGGAAACCCAAGGAGGGGTCGCCTTGAGTCGGTCCGACTCGACAGCACATAACAACAACAACAACAACACATTGCTTGAAATGTATTCAATTACAAAGAATTTACTTTAAATTAGAGCACTGTTGGCTGGGTCCTTTGGGAATAATTTTGTTCAAACTATTGAAGATACTCTCTCAATTTTTTGTTTTTTACACAAACATATTGTTTACCTGCAAGTGAGCTCTGGGATACAGGAATGATACTAGTTTCTTATGTGGGGAGCCAAGAAATACTGTAGCTATAGTTTCCATGATAACTAAGAGGTCTAGGCTGTAGGGCCCAAAGAGTTACAATGAAAACAAGCTCTGGTGCAGGAGATGCCTTGACAAAAAGGGGATGTCATTCATGATAGGCATGTAAGAGGAAGGGCTGTCCCCAAAACTGTCTAGCTTTTTGAGCTGAATGTCTTAAACAGCCTTATCTAAAACACATTGGTGCTTGCTTTCAACTGTTTTACATTTGATCCTTTTGCCTACCACTTAAAATGATAATCACACTGGAAGATTAGAAAATCTTTTTTCTAATCTACATACTAGAGCTTGAACACGGTTAGTTCTCTACCATATTTTATTACATTCAGTGTGGTTCCCTCTCCTCTCCATATTGCTTGGTTCTAAATATCAACTCTTTGATGGTTAAAAATGCTCAAATTGGTTGTACCTTTGTAAGATTCCTTTTTCTTTAAAGAAACAATTTATTATATTATTTATATTAATTGTCCCCCCTGGGAAAGAAGAGGAGCTCTGGTGGTACAGCAGTTAAGGCATTTGGCTGCTATACAAAAGGTCTATGGCTGGAACCCACCAGCCATTCTGTGGGAGAAAAAAGAGGTAGTCTGCTTCTGTGAAGATTTACAGCCTTGGAAACCCTAAGGGGCAGTTCTACCCTGTCCTATAGGGTTGCTGTGAGTCAGAATTGACTTAATGTTAGTAGGTTTGGTTTTGGGTTTTGGGGAAGAGGTGAACAGAAACAGATCCTCTGTACTCTGACTCAGCAACAGAAAAAGCTCAATAAGAAGAGAGAAGCAAACGATCATTACCAATTGCTAGGGTGTGCTCTGTAAAAGTGTAACTCCTTTAAAAATTGTTATTGTTGTTGTTATGTGCCGTCGAATCGGCCCCGACTCATAGCGACCCCTCCTTGGGTTTTCAAGGCAGTATCACTACAGAATAGGATTGCCCAACCTTCCTTCCGAGGAGTGGCTGGTGGGTTTGAACCACCAGCCTTCTGGTTAGCAGTCAAGTGCCTTAGAATTAGAAATTAGAAAGACTAGAACTTTAAAATACCTGTACTCTCTGCTCAGCACCCACAGTTTTTCCAGGGCAGTGGTTTCCAACTTGCTCATTCTCTTGAAATTCATGAATCTCTCCATTAAGTCTTTCAACCTTAAAAACAAAAGCACCTGGTAGACTTCTCAATTTTATCTGCTTTGTTTTTAAATTATACAAGTTTTAAAATTATACAAACAATACATGAATCCATTCACCTTATAAAAAACTACATAGAGTTTTTTCCTAGCAAGATGGCGGACTAGGCAGAAGGATTGCACAGACCCTCTTCAACAAAGAAAAGGGAAACCAATAAATACAGACACAGAAGATAATCTTGGACCCCTGAGCCTTGAAGGAAAGGATGCAGATTTGGACTAAACCCCAACTAGCAGAAGAATTTGCGTGAAAAT